ATATATCCAACATTTATTCCAAATTAGATTAAATGCTATATTCAAAATCACTTTTATAGTTTAAATCTAAATAAAATCATTTTATAATTCAAATAAATGTTGACATGAAAAAAGTGAAATGTCATTTTATGTGTTCTGATCAATCTGTTCAGATTGATTCTGAGGTCAATTCTGTTCAGATCATAAATATATTGAATTAGCAATAATTTATGATATTGAATTTTGCTTAGTAATTATAGATATCAAGCCATTATTTATAATTCCACATGATATTATTATTAATTATTAGAATATTTTATCGGCATAGAAACAAAAAAGTCATTAATAAAATAGGGTAAATTAAGACTTTTTTTAATTTCCTTAGCGGGGATCGTAATTTTTTCCTTTATTAGCATTTAAATCATATAAGCATATATCAAAATCTCTAGAATCACATTTTAGGCGAGTTCTGGAGCTTTCCTTGAATACTTTAAAATAGTTTTCAAAGTTTACCAACTGAACCCGCCTAAACTACATTTGAAGGCCAAAACATCATTTGCAATATGTATTAGGTTATGGGCGTTGTACGTTAATCTGCCAGTTCCATATAGTTTGGGGTATTCACTTACAAATTTAATGAGGGTATTTTTAGCTACAATCATTTTTCTCAATACAGGTTTCAGCATCACATAAGATCCTGATCTCCAAACGAAGTTGTATAAAATTTATGTAGTTTGGCTTTCCAGATCATGTAGTCTTTAAGCGCTCTGGGTAATCTCGAAAATTCTGCTGGAATGTGAGCTTTAAATTTTAGTAAATATTCGCTCACTGTATCCTGTAATATCATTGTATTGTCATCTAATTGGACGTCTTTCGTTCCTTTTACCCAGAGGCTTAAAAGTCTCTTGGTGACACCTAGGCAGACAATATGCATTTAGTCGAGTGCTATTTGAGATACCATTCCGATATTTAATTCCTCCAAAACGGAGTCATTTGTGTGATGTCCTGGGTTCATCCTCATGCGAAAAGATTTATCTGTTCGAAGATCTGAAAATGTGTTATTTAAAATGACATGGGTTGAAAACTCTTCTCTTTGAATACTTTGGAGCAGCTTTCATAACCCGCATGCCCAGTTGTCTTTGTAATGAACAGGACTAGCACAGATTATTTTTGATATATAAACATGACAATTTCTATTGAGACAAATTAAACCATGTTGTAACACTTTCATTTCTTCCACAAAAGTCTTAAGGAAAATGTTTGCATCGTCTAGTTTACCATTTCCATGGTGCACCCCTACCAGAAATAGTTCAATCTTTTGTGGAATCTAACATCAGAGATATGGGCCAAAAGGCACTAGCCGAACTCTTCGTCAATGGAATGTGGAATACGTACTTCTACCCCAAAATGAATGTATGAACCACCGTTAATTAATTTTATACCATCGGTGGCATATTTTGGAGTGCCAATTCATCTTTGTGCCCATGATGGCGTCTTAGAATACCCAGCAGTTGTGTCATACACTGCATCGTAATGTTGTTTCTCTGAAACAGATTTCCTAGCTCGCACTTCAAAGGTAATTCTGGAATATCATCCGCTTCGTCTTCAATATTAAAATAGTCAGAAACATGTGGAACCGGAATACAAAGCACTTCATATTTGTCAATACTAGCAGAAGCGCTTTTATTTTGGGAATCTTGACATGCAATGTCATGATAATTGCAATTATCCATGGATTTGCACCTCTTCAACACTTTCACTAATGTTAAAGCTGCTAGCACAGTTAGCGGTGCTACTGTTTAGTGCTCGAATCATTTGCTGCATAAAGAATAAAATTTGTTGCTTGGTAGTGCCCTCGTAATAATTTTCTTGGCCAAACATACAAATCTGATCCTGTGTCGACTAAATTTTGCTTTGTCGACAGTTTTGAATTTTTATCGGTAAAAAACTGCGGTGCGACATCTTGAGGCAATCACTTTGCGTCACTAGCGACTGCCCTTGATGTTTTTTGAATGCTGAAATGAGCAAGGTTTAGTACATTTTAATGCTTTGTTCTGCCAGCGATGGTGATACCAACAAATGTCATATTTTTTCGATTGTCTGTTAAAATGTGATTGGTGACCATCACCAATCACGTCGGGGTCACCGTATCACGTCGGGGTCACCAATTATGTAGGTAAAATATTTTATTAATATATAAAATAGTTTTTAATTATACAGTTGTTTCTTACAGTTAAATAATTCATTATATTCAATTTTTTAATTTTTGATCAATGTGAGATGTTGAATGATTTAGTTATGTCAATGGAATATTTCAATTTAGGCAATGCCTTCTGGACCCAGTGCAGGCGTTGCAGCTTTCCCAGTGTCTAGACGTCTTCGTTTTTTTTTAACGTCTTTCATTCACATTATATAATTCTAGGGCGTTTTCTGTTCTAGTAAAATTCTATGTTCGGTGTCTTTACTCTAAAAAAAATTACTTTTGTCGATTTCGGATAATCGGTTCATAATTTGCGTTAGAGGTTTCCGGGTGCTTTTAATTAAGCGCTTATTTTTTCCTAAATAATTCTATTATATAAATATAATTATATTATTAGATAAATTTCCTATTAACATGATATATTTTTATAAATGCATATGTAAAATACTATAATACTGTTACTTTATAACTTATAACTACTGCTTTTATTAACTTATTTATATATAATACATTCAGTGTTTGCTCCTATTTAATTAATCATATGAGAAATTATATTATTGTTTTTTATTTTGCTTCTTTATCAATCTCTGCTTCCCAAAACGGAACCATTCGAAAGCAATTGCAATAAAATCTGATAGGGTCAGATTTTTAACACTATTTGTTAACGTTTCTAAAATTGAACCAATCAGGTTAAAAACATTATGAACAACTTGTGAATTTGAAACATTTGTATAATTTTGGGTAATCTCACCTTTAATTATAATCATCAATTTCAAGTTGTTAACAGCTATGTTGTCGTTTCTGCCATACCATGAGCATTCAGCAGCCAGTTCCCGTGTAAAGACTTTATTGAATGCGTTTCTGACATATTCTACTTTTCTTTGTCCTCCTACTTTCAAAATATAATTTTGATAAAAATATTGTAAGTTAGCACTAAATCATCTTAGTTATATAATTATTGTGAATAAAATGTAAGTATACCAATTCTATCACACAGTCATCCTCTTTTATAAGGTCCTCACAACAATCAATTTATTCTTGTGTGTTTAAAGGAAACAATGCTTTGAACATGTTGTTATTGTCTAAAATTTGTGCTGAAGTTTTATTAGCGTTTTCCGTAAACTGCTCCAGCTTAACGTTCATCGAAGCAATTTCCTTTATTAAATAATCAAATTTGATATTTATATTATGGCCTCCACCACTATTCAATTACAATTATTAATTATTATTATTACAATATTATTATCTCAGTGAAACAACTTGCATCAGTTTGTATGCTACGTTCACCAACTTAATTAAACTTAACTTAATTAAATTATGGAACTGATGTGACTGTGGAATCATGAGAAGAGGGCTCAAATTATCTCCCACATTTGAAGGCGTATCACATAAGGGTGCTAAGCCGCTAGTGTAACACCTTGGAGAGTCGAATTCGATTAATGCTTCATGAGAAAAATCTGAAAGATTTTTTTTATTTGTCTATCAATATGTATTGTATATTATCATGATATATAGGTTATTTTACTTACTATCTTCAACATTTAGGTCTAAAATTTTGGGTTTTTTAAGCCGGCAACTTTTCCTCAAAGCTTCTTCTTCAGACGTATTGTCGCTATCTTTAGCGTAAGCCCCCGCTTTGAAATAAGATATCTACCGCCTTCTAAGATTCTTCATCCGGCTTTGAACTTTTTACGATCAATGAAGAATTTGATACATTTCTCGGCGGCCATCAGTATTTTGTTTCTTCACCATTTTCGTCCTTGATCAACCAACTAACAGGTGCTTCAGACTTGTTATTCTCCTTTAAAAAATTGATAACAGCGTGGGTATATATTCTGAAACACTATAGAGCATTCTCTATAAAGCCATTTATAAAGAGGTTACATAAACATTCAAAAATCTCCTAAATCAAAATAACCACTTTTTATGAGATGTTATTAAAAATTTATATATGAATAAAACAAGAAAAAATAACTGCATTTACCTATTAAGAAAGATGATGTTCAAGATAGTTTACGATTGCACAAACGAGAAAACTAATTAAAACGAAGCCAAGCCAACGAACGACGTAGATACAAAAGACTCTGGGCGAAGATGGATGATGAATGTGACCATATCAGGCTGGCCAACGCTCGATAAGACAGTTTTTACTACTGTTTGTTTACTACTTGTTTGTACTACTGTATGTTACGACGACCACTATAATGCAGCCTGAGTAAGAATTATAAAGCCTTTAAATAAGCATTATGAGAAGAGCTGTTGGGTAATTGTGTATTACGTATTTTGTTGACAAATTCGAAGGGATTTTTAATAAAGAAAGGAGAATTAACAGCAACTATGGAGAGGGGTTTGCTCAGAAATTTAGAAAATTTATTTAGGGGAGAATTCAAATCCTCACAATCCCCACCCTCACAATTGTCATGTTTTTATATTTTACTATATGTACCCTCCTCGCGTTGTCAAACCTTAAATTCTCTGGTCAGTTCGTGTGCCTTGTACCTAGCTTTTAACACGTGGTGCGCACATTGATGTACATTTAGGCTTCACTACTTTACAATTTCATAAAAAACTCATTCGAAAATTTATATATTGTTCAATTTAAAGTGACAAGAATTGGTTTTATTGTGCATTGTGAACATTTATAATTATGAAATAATTAGGATTAATTCAATTACATGTAAGTTCATACCATATCACTTCTTATATATTAGTTTTAATTAATAATTTCTAACTGTTCCTTCAAACTAGAGTCCACTGAAGATGACACAAAACAATGTGTCGAAACGTATGGAAAAAATAAAAATGTTAAAATACCTTGTTCACCTCCTTATTAATAACGCTCCTAATACATTTAATTTTTTTAGCCACTGTGGTATAGACGCAACTGAATTGATTTCTTTGAATATCGGCAGCATTGTATTTAATGCATTATTGCGCATTTGTTAATTGTGATACGACTTGTTACTTATTGACCACGAACAAGGATGGGTTGTATACATCTCGATGAATTTTACTGTGAAATTTTCTGACTCCATATCTACAAATCCATAAAAATTAACAATAATTGTTCAGAATGTGCTAATTATAAATGAATATACTACTAAAGACTAATGTGTACCTATATTTTCTTCGCCAGATTTATAATTTTGCACTAATAGAACTTAATCCCACGATTATAATAGTGATACTAAAATAATTTTAAGCAATGTTTTCTATATATATCCCAGTAAACAAAATTACATATAAACAATATGGATACAACATTGCGCCACGCCGCAGTCATTTTTGTTGCATAGAACGCTAAACGAGCGCCAAGTAATGTTACATTTGCGATTTTTGTCGCGACATTTGCTATTTTTGTAACACGTTCGCATGTTGAACTGATGTTGATGAAACATGAAAACAACGTAATTGTGTACAATAACCCAATATTAATAAATTAATGCTTTAGAATATTTAATTGGCTAATAGTCCTTTTATTCAGAAATTATTTATTTATGTAATATCGTTACAAATTTAATTTAATATTTACAAAGTTTCGATATCAATTTATGAATTAAGTTATAAATTTACAAAGAACTTAATTACTAATAGTATTATCTAAGATTTACATCGAGTATTATTGAACAATTTAGTACATGGAGTAATATAGAATTTGATAAATTTATGAAACATGTGACGAATAATGATCAAAACATTTCAAGTAAGACATTTTTTGGCATGAAGGACAATATATTTATGCTGAGATAATGTTAACTTTTTTCCTTTCCCTTCTGTAGGACCCCAAAAGACTCGTCATCTTTTGTTTTACTTCGCTCATAGTTTTTTGGAGCATGTTTGCGATTTCCTCCCAAGCATCGTCTTTGAGCTTCTTATTGCGATAATGCGGGTTTTTAGGGTTCCACAATAAGTTTTTCTCCTGGTACATCTTAATTAGAAAAATAACATCTTCTCTAATCATATCCATTTTAAAAATTGTAGTAAGTCAAATAGCTCAATGCCTTCACTGTACAACTGAACTTATACCGTAGCACAGATCACATTACGTACACGTTCAAAGAAGTAACGGATACGGATACAAAATGCAGGCTGACCAACAATTATCAGTTTTGAATAAAAATTATTAGATCTGTTCTAAATATAATTCTAAATGCTTGTTCAGAAAAGACTTTGAACAAAAATTCAGTCTGCATGTTAACAAGATTTAGATCGATAATTTACGCTAATTGCAAATAATACAATATTACCATTTCTTGTTTGGAAACATTTAATTTATTTTTAATTATGAATATATCATGCGTAATATAATTAGTAAGAGTATATATATATATATATATATATATATATATATATATATATATACTAGCTGACCCGGCAAACTTCATATCACATAAATAATCATTAATAAAATTTAATTAAATCTTGTATATGAAATAATTAACACATTTGGTTATGAATGCGAAGCTTTCATATATACTATATTTTAATTCTCAAAAATACCTATTTTTTATATTTCATATATAAAATATTTTATACATTTGCTTATGAATCGAATGTTTTGGAATCAATATAAAGTTTTTTTGTAGACAATATTTTTGGTCTTTTTTGCGGTGCGTAAATGAATAAGGATGATGGTTTCCCGACGCGCAAACACGCAACGTATAATTGGCCCTGTGCGAAACTCCAGCGCCTAAAATCAAATCATAAATCCGTTGGGAGCATAGTTATTCGCGGGATCATCTTGTCCCTTGTATTTTTTTAATGATTTTTGCCACAATTACATTATTTATTAGCTTTTTTACAACCAATCTTGTTTCATTGCATAGTATGGGCTGATTTAAATTACGTAGCATGATGACAATTGATCCTACTTTCAATTGTAAATTATGTGGTGGCAGCCCAGGCAATTTTAATGAATTTAGAAATTCTGTAGGATAGTTGAGTATGTCATCCTGATTGTAGCGGTGTCTACAGATTTATAAGTAAAGCATTCTCCTGGAAGTAAACTTTGTATTGTTGCATTAAGATCATCGGCATCTTTGTTTTTCGCCGCCAATATTGCTCGTTCGCTCAGCCAATTGAGATCGTGAAATTGTTGGTTCATATCTGGAAATACGCAAGCTCCTCTTTTGTGTTTGTGCAGCTGCAAAACTCTGCGGGAAATGTTATTAACCCGTTCGAGGCATCAACTGCGACATTACCATTTCCAATATTTAGTAACTGCTTTGAAAACACTTTCGCTGTTTCATCTTGTTGCAAAACCACTCGCATGTTTGTTGTTAACTGGAGTTTCTTAACATGACGCCACAGATTTGATGATTTTAAGCTTGCGTTCAGTTCCTCAGCAACACTTGATTGTGGTATAACTGGAAGAGTTTGGCGAAAATCACCTGACAACAAAATCATTGCTCCACCAAAAATATTTTGATTGTCACGTAAATCTTTCAATGTTCTGTCCAGTGCTTTCAGTGACCTCTTGTGGGTAATTGTACATTTATCCCAGATAATCAATTTGCATGTCTGAAGTATCTTGGCCATGGCGCTAGTTTTTCTGATATTGCAAACTGGTATTTCATCGATTTGCATATTAAGAGGTAACTTCAATGCTGAATGTGCAGTTCATTCACCTTCTAACAATGTTGCTGCTATTCCTGATGATGCCAATGCTAGAGCTACGTCATTTTGCGATCTGATCTTTGCCAATAGCAATGATAACAGGAATGCTTTTCCAGTACCACCAGGAGCATCAAGAAAAAAAAATCCCTCCAGATCCGCTTGTATCAAATCATCATATACAATCCTTTGATGATCGTTCAACTTTGGAACAGCTGTGCGAACTATTTCGGTCAATGTTTCAATATCATACTTTGGCTCTCTTCTTAACTCATGGTTAAATGCATATCGAACACAACGGTTTGGTGCTGTCAGGCCCAAATATAATAATACTTTATTTGCTATCAATAAACACATATCCTCTATCATGATCAAAGTTTTATTATAAATTTCTGCAGTAATTTGTAGTACCGGATTGAATGTTTGACAACGTGCACTATATAAAATATCATTAGACATGTCATCTCTGTATTTGAGCCACAAATCTTTCAGATTTGAGGGAAAACATGTTGGAATTATAATCGCAAACAATGTACACACATGATGCGGAGATGAGGATATGATGTCGTCCTTGAGCTTATTATCCCAATGGGAATCGTTTCCAAGCAACTGTAACATGTGACATGCTTCACGGTACGTTGCACATAGATATTCATCAACCGTTTTCAATTGTTGAAATAATGTCGGTCTAGGAACATTAACCAATAATAACCTAAGGCAGTATCACTCATCATTATTTGGATGTACTGTATAAATGGGCCCTATAGCACATGTAGCAAACACATTTGGATATCCTTCAACCGGTGTTCCTTTTTTACGACGTTGAAACGACTTTGATGAAGTGTTTCATGTGTAATAGTGCGGCATACATAGTAATTAGTAAAATGTAGTCTTTGCTGATATGAGGAAGATCAGATCGCGTTTTTTAGCAGATCGCGGTTGTTAGATCGCGACGTGACACGATTATTGTCAGGTGATCATCGATACTGCGATCGCTAAGTATCGGTCTTGTATTGCGTCTTTTGTAAACAAAGCGCAAATTTGTCAGGGGCTTGCTCCGCTTCCGACGCTAAATTATAAGGTGAACGTGCCTTTTGCTACTTTCATTCCAAATTCTGGGTCGGAATTGGTAATGGATTGAAAGTCAGCACATTTGAAAGTGTTATTCAAAATTTTCTAAAACCAGTACAGTAATTTATATTTTAATAAATTCAGTGGACATCGTAAGAAAAACGCCAGAATTTCCGGGCGGGAGCCTCGGGAAATGTCGCAAGACATGATGGACGTCTTGACGAGCACCGTCCTAAAAAACAAGTACCAGGCATTATCGGACCGGAGTGAAATGGACACGGATCGAGAGATAGACGAGTACCGGACAGTCAAACGCAAGAAGCGGTTGAGGCAAAACAACGCAGACAATGTGATAGGAAACCAGACTGTTAACACTCTGAAGCCATCTGCATCGAAAACGGGGAATTTAGCACCCAAGAACACCACCGTAACAGATCCAAAGATTCCACCTATCATCGTCAAAGGCCAGCTGGATTTAAAAGTGATCAAATATATCAAAGATACGACGAAAATAATATTCAGGACCCAATATTTAAAACCCCAATTACACAAAATTTTCGCCGATACGATTGCAGATCACGAAAAATTAAAAAGCATACTAAGGGATTGTGATTTTCAATTTTACACCTATACTATGCAGCACGACATCCCTAAGAAAATCACTATCACTGGCCTAAATCCAGACATGACTGAAACGGTGGTTCTAGATGAGCTGAAAGCCAAGGGCATTAAGGTAAAGCAGGTGGTCCAAATTAAGAAGAAGGAATCGGACGGCAGTCAGCGCAAACTCCCTATATATATTGTCCTTCTAGATAAGGAACAAGAGATGGCCAAACTAAAGGAAATAAACAATATAGAAGGGCATATATTCAAATGGGAGAGTTACAGGCCACTAAATAAGACTATACAGTGCCACAAGTGCCTGAACTTCGGCCATACCTCGTACACGTGCGACATGCGGTATAGGTGCATAAAATGCACGAACGTGCACCCACCGGGAGTTTGCACGAAGCCACCAACCGAGGACCCAAAATGCGTGAACTGCCAAGAGAACCACCCGGCTAACTACTCACAATGCCCAGCTCTAATTAACTATAGAGCAAAAAGGGATAAAGATGCGCAAAAGAGACACCAAACATACAGGCCAGCGCCAACACCCGCGCCGCTGACGAGGAGCTTCTCGTCAGCTTTAAAACCCACCAACGATGGCCATAACAACAGATCTGCGTTTCCTGAACTCCCGGTACCATCATCACCACGAACACAGCCGGCCTCCCAGTATCCATCGCCGAAGATCCAGCCAGCACCAGAATCGATCCGGCCAGCATCCTCACGAATCCGGCCTACCACCAGCCAGTCCGATCCAGACCTGAGTACACTGGAGGGACTATTTACTGTTATGGGCGAGATCAGGAAGTTATTCGCGGATCCCGAGGTAAGACAAATTTTCAGTGAGCTTTATAAACTGACAAAGACATTGAACACAAATATGACTTACAATGACAAATACACAACCATACTTAACTTTTTAACGGCATGCCCATAAAGCATGCACGCGACATACACATAATGTACTTCAACTCCAACGGACTCAAAAACAACGTAAACGAACTGAAACAGACTATAACAAAATATGACTTGGACATTGTACTAATTAACGAGACACACCTGAAACCTACGGACAGACTTTACATCAACAACTACAAAGTATACAGGAACGACAGACCGACAAACTCACGCGGATGGGGAGGCACTGCAATATTGATCAAGTCAAATATCAGACACGAGCAAGTGCCAAACCTGACAGCGGGCGGTTCTGAAATAACAACTATTAATGTATACAAAAGGGGTCAAAAAGTGACTATAATATCGATTTACATCCCGGCAAGCGGACTGCAACTGACGGACCTACAAAACCTACTTGACTCAAACACACACGTCATAATGGCAGGAGACTTCAACGCGCAACATACATCTTGGAACTGCAACTACAACAACGCGAATGGAATTCGACTCTACGAATATCTGACGGAACACAACACCACGGACGCACAACTACACTATCCTGACACACCGACCAGATACGCCACCGTACAGACACACCATCACAGCACAATCGATCTGGCTTTGACAAAAAACATTCACATAACATCCGAACCCATAACTAGAACACTTTTCAACTCTGACCATAACCCTGTTTTTATGACTATCTCTGACAGACTCGACGTCGACAATACTCTAGCACGCAACATTTTGGACTATTCCAGAGCCAACTGGCCACTTTTTAGAGAAATTATTACAGACAATATACGACACACGATACCCATAGAGACCAATACAGACATAGAGGAGGCTGTGACACATCTGACACGGACGATCACGGACACCATCCAACACACAATACCGCTGCGACACGCAAATACAACCACATTTGACACGCTTCCTCAACAAATATTAGTAAAAATTAAATTAAAGAACAATATAAAGAAACTGTGGCAACGTACTGGTGACAGACTACTAAAGGAACACGTAAACAGACTGACAAAAATTATTCATAATGAGATACGTGAGCACCGGAATGACACTTGGACTAAAAAACTAGAAACCATCAACACTGACCCGCACAAAGTTTGGCAAACAGCCAAAAGACTGACGAGGAAAACAACACCTATCCCGCCACTCAAACTACCTGATAACAACTACGCCACGACACCAGCAGACAAAGCAGAAATTTTAGCAACACACTTTGAAAACATACACAGACAAAACGCCGACATGTCCAACGCAGACTTAAGACCAGGGCCTTTTCACTTAGAACAAAATGCTCGTTCAGAAGGAATACTTAGGGGTCCATTTGTAGTCGCAGATTTGGCGCTAGTGAGCCGATGAAAAAGTATTTTCAAATGTTTTATTTTGGTTAGTAAGAAACGTCAGTGTTATTTTTGTGTAAGTTTACAAAATGGCGATGCTTGTTCGTTTGTGTTTCTATATTTATTCATCAGAAATTGCTCTCAAATGCATAATCCTTTGACAATATGAATAGAACAGCTTCAATCTCATATGGAGGACATAATTACTAAATGACTAGGTAGTGCATTGACATATTAGTCTAAACTTAATACACTTTAAGGAAAGAGGTCAGTTCTAGGAAATTGTGTAAGAAATCAAGAATACGCTTCTACAAGAAAGACATAATACACGATTAAAAAGCTGTTCCAGCTGTTTAAAATTGGATTACCACTTCATACGGATCTGAATATACTTGGGAGAAAATGAATTGCTTAAGAATGTCAAATTTTGCACGGGATGATTATTAGTTAATGAGAGTTAAGAATGACAGACGATGTAATGAACTAACACTAAAATGCATTATTCACTAAATTTCAATACATATTTATATTAATAAGTAGAAAAAAGTGTAGAAGTTATTCCAGTAGATTAGATGTGATATATATTATAGATAAACCGGTGTATTGCAGTGTATTCGTTGATTTATATTTTGATTTGATTGTATATTTATTATAATATAATATTATCTAGTATATTTTTGTTATTATTGTATTATTACAAAACATAATAGGATTGTAATACCAAATTTAGTTTCAAATACCCGTGCACTAAAAATCATTAATTTTCAATTCAAATTTTGCGCCATTAATTTGAATGCCAAAAGCAGCGCCATCACGTCGAGCGGAGGACCCTTTAAGTATTCCTTCTGAACGTAAAAATCGGGCGAGAGAAGCGTCTATATGAACACGGGGTATTCTAATATTGTCTAGGCTTAAGACGAGACGTACGCAATTCTATTCAAAATTTTACTGAACAATTTAACGACAAAGACCTACGAATAGACC